AAACAGAAAAGGTCAATGGATCTACTCCCGATGATTACTTCCCTTGGAGGAAAAAGGAAAAGGGAAACAGAAACGTACAAGTATCCGCTCGGTGAGCATCACCTTTCGCCACTCCTCCTACTATGTTGTCATCTTCGTCTACAGCAATACATTGCTCCGACAAATATCCAACCTGGACAGGATCATATTTTTTTAGAAGCGCTTCTCTGGACTGCAACCTGGAATATGTTCGACTATCATCTATGTCAACAAATCATCATCACCATTCAAATAAGAACCAATTGAGGTCATGTTTGCAAAAGGTACAATCACCATCACTGTCACTGGATCTTCATGATCTGCGCACCAAGACCAGTTACTTCTTAGCACACGAGGCGACTGTGCTCAAAGGCATGCCTTCAGTCCAGCAATATATAATCTCAGAAGCATGCCTTCACTCCATTGATGTATTGTATCATCTATATCCCTTGAAGTATTAGCGGCACAACTCGCCCAATGAGAACCTGAGCTCACCTTATTTTCTAGGCTCGGAGTTTCACAAGCTGTGGTAAGCACACATCACTTCCGATTAAGGTAGTCATGGCTAACCTTGTACCAGTTTCGCGCCAGAAAATTAAGAATCAGGGTGGAATTGTTAAGGCGCAACGTCGCTCAAATGGCTTATGGACAAATCCCGCTACTGCATATTGTGGGTAGTGACGTAGCGAATCCTATAGTCGCTGACTTCTAGGAAGAAAAAACAAAAAAATCAAGGAGAACACTTTAAGGCCTATCTTACGGCTTAGGCCTATCTTTTTTTTAAGGCGGTATCACTGTACACATGGTACTTTGGAAAGGGACATAGGTATATAGGTGCAGTTCAAATTGTTGGACAGAGATGTGGAAAATAAGCTGCTATAAATTGCTGGATAGAGATGTAGAAACTAATCTGCTACCTATACTACTACTGCTACCTCAGAAGCGGGTAAGGAGCGGTCACAGTCTGCGATAATGCAATGCTCTAGTGTCTCGTAAGCAAAGTCTGGCGTCTGCAATTGGCTGGAAAGTTGCCCGCGGAGGTAGCCGACTCCATGAGCACCGAAATTCTTGGCACTCACACTGCAGGTGACTAAGATCAAGTTTCCTGTGCATTTCTCCACTTAACGTTTCAAGTAAAGTCCCAGTCCTTCCTAATAAGTTTTCTTTTCGGTAATATGCAGTATGAGTAGGGAAGACACTACCCTACTCATACTGCATATTACCGAAAAGTAGTGAGTAACAATGATGCAAAAACTAAACAAAACGATCATCAAAA